TTTTTTGGCTTTTCTTTTCTTTGGGTTAGCTGCCTTTGTGGGGACGTGATAGAGGCCAGGGGGCAGATATGATGGATGGAACTGGGGGGCATGGACGAGTTGAGGGGGCCACAGAAAGACGGGGATGGTGGGGCCCAGTGTCGTGCTCCCTGTCTGAGAGGAACGTGCAAGGCATGGGGTAGCCCTGGGTGGTAGGCGGACTCGGGCCGGGGGGGTATGGTTTCTATGTGTTTCATTCTGAAGGAGTGTGGATGGAAATGGGGGGGAGGGCCCAAGCCTTGGTTAGAAGGAGTGTGTAGGGGTCCATGCAGTATCTATGGATGGGGATGAGGATGTTGTTGCGGGTGGGGAATTGATGATTGAGGGTACACGTTGAGGAAAAGGAATTACTTTTTAGCATCGTGGGGGATCCAGCTTCCCTGATGAATCTGCAAAAAAAGTCCACCACAAGCAGATATGTTCTCAAGTCGACAAATATTGGCCACTATGACAAAAATATTATAAATGATGCACTTAAATATCAAATATCTTATCTTATATCATGTGGTTTTAATACAGATTTGCATCTGATAGATGCAAATACAGTCAATCTATGATATTTGTAATAGGGAGAGAGAAGGGACTAGTGAACTGCCTACTACCTCGTGTGTGTGTGTGTGTGTGTGTGTGTGTGTGTGTGTGTGTGTGTGTGTGTGTGTGTGTGTGTGTGTGTGTGTGCTTGTAATGTATGTGTGCATATGTACTGGGTGCTCTGCTGTATGTGGAGCTCAGTTCTCTGGGGGTGAAAGACAGATGAGGGTATGGAGTTGGGATGAGACCACAATATTTCATCATGGACATTATAAAACCAGGGCTGGATAAATTGTTTAAAATAATCATCATATGGCTATCCTTTGGCCAACAACATATAATACCACACACACGGTACATGATGTTGTCATCAATTTTGAAGCTTCACTCTGCTCTTCTGTGCTCATGTTTCTCGTGTAATCTACAGAGCATCTTCCTCTTTATTCCATCACATCATAAGGACTAGGAATACTAGTATTCCCGAGGGATTAGCCTCCTCCTATGGCCTCCTTACTGCACCTTGCACTGTGGAATGTCCTCTCAGCAAATCAATGACAGCCTTTTTCTTGACTCGCTTCCCTCTCCCACTGTCCACCTTGCAATGTGGAATGTCCTAATCCATAGAGATACATGAACAAGTGCTTATAACCCCAGGAACACCTTTCAGCAATTTAAAAAATCAGACCCCCATTCAACCACCTGACACTATTCAAATTCAGGATTTCTTTTCATTTGACGTTACTGCAAAATAGATTTAATGTCAAGTGACCTGTTCGTATCAGTAGCAGAATCTGCTGTTGCTGCTCCCTTATCTTGTAAACCAATTATTTGCTTTTCAACGCTTGTATGACATGCTTCATATTGTTGTCAAGGTCACTAAATTGAACTTTAAGACATTAAGTATGAGGTGGCTACTTTTAAGACAAAAGTAGCCACCTCATACCACTCGCCCACTGAAGTCTATGAGATTAACTGGAGGTCTTTGTTGACACATACAGACCACCTGCTGCATGACAACTACGCCATACACTTTCACTGTCCTCTCATCAAGAAAGATAGCAAACCTCCCCTTGGTGCATCACAGACAAGAAAAAAACAAACAAAAAAGAAACCAGGACAGACGCCAATCTTCCGCCCATCAGATACCAATCAGGGCCTGGCAACCTGCTGGCATCCCTCTGGATGACTGAGATCAGTATCTGGCAACATGCTGGTTGTCCAGTAGCAGGCAGCCTGGTGGCTGTCACCCAGTGCCCAGAGAGAGACATCCTCTAAGGGCTGGGACAAAGGTGGCTGGTCCTCAGGGATTACCCATTAGCATGCTAGTCTGTGTGTTTAACACTGGCCTGAATTGAAAGGACAAGAGCCAGCACCCTGGTCTATTCTTAAGCAGGGAAGTGTTACTGTTTCAGCTGCTAATGCCGGTCTGACTTATGCATATATACGCATACATGCATATATATGAGAGGAATTTTTGTTTCTATCGGTATGCTGACTGACTTAATGACAGCTCCAGTGTTTGAGGTAAAATTTGATACAGCAAATGTTGTAATGCAAATCTTACACTATGTATTCAATAATCAGTCATTTTCTTTATTATTTACTATAATGTGAAGATTTCTCATATCTCATGAGCCTTTTGAGCTTGCATTTCACCTCACCTTGACTTCCTCCTAACAATATGGTTGGCTGGCCTTTTGAATTTAAATTGGTCCTTTGGTGGTTATCGGACTGTGAGATCCACTGATTCTGGAGCAAACATACATATTGTTTGTTGTCAGATGTGCAGTGTCAGTGTGATCAGTGCCTTTATGGCAAGAAAGAATGGCATAAACCACATAGAAAGGCACAAGATTCCCGTCCCATTCTGTAGGTGATGCTAATACAGCAATACTGCTTTCAAGGATGTTGAAACCAGGTGGTAGTTGAAATTATTGCTGATTTATTTATTCAGTGAAACTAGACGATTTCTCAGTGGTGATTTAGCTATCTGTGTGTTGGGGTGACCATAGCCATTCTTCTTCTGTGTGTGTGTTAGCTTAATGATGTGTAAAGACGTCTGTATGGAAATGTGTATTTGCAAATCTTTGGGATTGTCCTCAATTTTGTTTTCATGTGTATGTGTGTCCGTGATTGTGTGAAATACTCCTCTTTTTGTGCTGGTGTATGTGTGATTATGTGCTCAGACTTTCTGGCTGGTGGCTGATAATAACACAAGAGGCCGTGTGTTTGTGGATCTCTTAGCTGAGGAGATTCCCACCGTGCTCAGCGTGTCTGGGCTCTGTGTGTTTTTGAGGTTGCACGCGTGACTCCGCCAGCTGTTCTATTCTCCTGTTGGCCCCCTCAACCCTACCCAGCCCTTGTCCCTCACCGACCCCTCCTTCCCTCAGAGGCCTGCTCTTCATCTGATAAGGGTTGCGCTGGCCAAACCCTCAGCAGAGCTCCTCATAGCCCCTCAGAGCTGCTCCATGCTAACAATACACCCTCCTTTCCCCTCCACGCTCACACCATTTACATGTGAAAACACTGGGTCTTATCTCCAGTTCACTGGAGCTGTGGCACCACAGCCAAGTGAGCATGAGCGTTCGTATGTGTGAGCAAACGTGAGAGAGAGAGAGAACGGTATGAGTGAAAGCAAGTAAACTGTGAACACCTATGTGGCTAAATCTATTTTTATATCCCTACTTGAGCTTTATATCGCTTCCTTTTTTCGGTAGAAAATATTATCAGAAACTACATGAGCAAATTAATATAGAGTAATCTCAAGAGTCTCGTTCAGCACAAGTTGAAAGAATTAAGGTCTTTATTGTCAGTGGGATATTATCCAGCTTTATTGCACTGTATCCAATAGCTTACGGATATGGTAATGCCAAATGAAAGACCCCCAAGAGAGGAGAACTAGTCTCTCTGCTCCGTCACCTTGGAATATTGCCATGGTGTCTGATAGCAATAATCCTCATCAACATGAACATTAACATCACCACTTTTCTCACTGCTACCACGACAGCAGACCCAACTACCATTATTACTCCTCTTCCTTATTGCCATTGTTTCATCATCATCTCTACTGTTCTTGACACTATTGCCCACCGAGGGTGCTTTGATTTAAGAGTAATGGGGCTTGGTCTCATCTTCTCTGAGGTGGCGTCCTCCGGTCCAGCAACACACAACTCTGCAGCATATGTAGAAATTCAGTTCACCAGCTGCCGGGCAGACAGAGAGAGATGACAGACAGCAAAAGAGAAGCGTGCAGGCTTTTAATTAAAGTCTGTGTGGTTAAGGGCTCGGGCTAAGCAAACATGGGCCTCCAGCATCAGGGTTTAAGATGAGGTAAAGGAGAGCAGGGCCATGAGAGAAAAGCTCCTAACGTTGGATGAAGGAGGAGGGGTGAGGGGAGTAAAAATGAGAGATGTGTAAGTGTGGGAAGATAAAAGATGAGCAGACCGGGATAAAGGACTATTAGGAAGCGAGGAGCAGGTAGAGGGATGGGAAGGACAGGAAAGGGGATGGGTGTGTGCTGTCAGAGATGGTATCACATGTTATCTGATGTATCATAATGTGATGCGGATATTGGGGCGGGAGGAGCAAGATGAGATGCAGGGCTTTGGGAGACATTACAATGAAAATAGGGGGCGACTGGTGAGATAATGTGCATTCATATATAAAACTAGGTGTCATAAGATGTAGATAGTTGCCATGAACCTAAGATGTATGCAGATCTGAGCATGAATGCTAAAATATTTTTCCATTAAGTATCAATAGCTACTTTGACAAAACAACAATAAATCTGACATATTATACAATTCAGCAGGACAGAAATGGAGAGCTTCAGTTTTGCACGTTGGAGGAGTCGGTTCTGAGCTTTATCCGTTATGGTGGCACGGTGACATCTATTGGTGGAAATCTGGAACTACAGGGGGCTGTTCACCTGCCACTATAATAAAACATTCACGCACGGAGGAAAAATATGGATACTTGAGGGGGCAATTAAATAATAATTACTTTGATTTCATTGACTGGCTCTTGCTAGAACTTCACACCGGCAATTAAATATTTAAAAGGGAAATATTGTACTTTTTTCTCCACTACTTTTGACACATAGTTACTAATTACTTTACTGATTAAGATATTACATACAAATAATATGATACACTTATATAATATTGTTTGATGCCCAGAGTCACAATTATCCAATATTTTGCAAAAAAAAAAAACCCCAAAAAATATTAGAGAAAAGCCCAGAATATGACAACAGATTTGTTCTGCAAAACATTTATTTACAACCCCCAAGAACAACAAGGTTTATCTGTCTGGGGTACAGGCTGCTGGCTGTACAGCTCCAGTCTTTGCAATAAACTTATTTTCATAATATTATTTAGTTGCTGAGAAAATGTAATATTAGATCTCCAGGAAGACTCGTACACACATGATCTGAGTCAGAATTTTATATTACTTTCGATGTACAGAATACAAGGGATAAAAAGATCATGATGGTCACAAATATGTAATATACTAACCTCATGAGAGCAAATCAGGGCAGAAAAAGGAATTTGATCTTAAACCTTCCTTAAAATAAAACCAAGATATAAACAACAGAACAGACAGGTATAGGTTTTGTCCTGAGAAATGCTTTCCAGTTTTACAGCAAATAACATGAATTCTGTTTTACTCAATAAACCTTTGCACATTTTAATACAATAAAGGTACAAACAGTCGTGACACATAATCATTCCTTTGGGGGGGTAATATGCTTGGGTAAAGGTTAATAATGATTATCTTTGGTTTGATTGTTTTTCTTGTGCCTGCATTATCACTACTGGCTCTAGAGGAAAAATAAAGATGCAAAGCACAACTACATTTACACATTCATCTCTCACTTTAAACTCTTAAAGACTTTTAAATAGATTTCTTTACTTGCTCTCTTCCCTCTGTACAGTGTTGAACAAACCACTTTGAAATGAACAAACAAAGGTCAAAAGACAATAGTACATTTGTATACACAGATCCTTCAGATATGGATTTCATCAGTCATTGTCTAATACTACTGAGGATGATTTTCCAGACTGATACACAACCAGTTATATACATTACAAATCGCAAGCAAATTTTGATCTAAGACAAGACATTCTTAAAATGTATGTTGTCATGTGAGCTTTGTGTAAAATCAGAGACTAGGCCGCTGTTTTTTAGAGGTTTTAAAAAGGCAGTTTGTGCCCACAAACACATTACACACAAAGGCACTTACGACCAAAACTATCACAGAATAAGGCCTCAACAAAATCCTTTGTATTTCTTTTTTTGTCCCTACATAAAAACATTATTGAAAACATCTTTGAAAACAGAGATGGTACTTTTGCTTGGAGGAATGATTTATGAAACTCAGTTGGTAAGGATATATAGTTAATTTCTTCTCAGCGTTCAAAAAGTCTCAATGGTCCTCTTCACATTTTGAGCTTGAATCTAACAAAGAAATACTGTGAAATACTGTGTGCTCTTTTAGAAATGTTTCTCAAATTTTCCTCTCAATTTTTACTCTGCTAATATGAGTTTGAAGTACCACTTAAGAAGTTACAAAATGTACATTTTTACTATAATCAGTTCACATCCACACTGAAAAAACACATTTAAATGTCTGAGTACCACTGATTGAGCTCCTCTTATATATCACAACAGCATGTGTTTCTGTTAAACTATTAAAACTCTTATACAACACCACTGTACTGTCTAAAAGTGTATCAATTTCAGTAAGAATAACATGTCATTGCTAAAATTAGTACAGTAAGTCATTCAATGTAGCAGTAATTCTCAACAGTACAGATTTTATTTTGCATTCAGGTATTTTATAATTTTAACACAATAGAAATCTCTTATAAACCCCACTATGGAAAATATTGTAGTTGCAGTAAAGTGAGAAGTATTAGAAAACGGTGCATCACTTTGACTCAGCTCTATCATGTTATCAAAACATTTTAGGTTGTATCATCACATGTTATACGTTAATGAATGTGTTAATTAATGGCAGGTTAACTCATACTTCTTTGGAGATGCAGGTTGTGGTCACTGTTAGGTATCAGACACAGTATTTCTTCAAGGGGACCAAAATTCAACTGAACTGAAGAATGAATGAATGTGTAACTGATTAAGGTGTAGTGCAGCCATGATCCCAGCAGGGGGAGCCAGCACTACAAGATCAGTCCAGCAGGACGAGCTTGTCTCAGTACAGTGCTTCAGCAAATCGATGTGTAGGCAGCGAGTTTAGGGCACTGTTTAGTCTACTGTCTCTTAGTCCCTGTTGATTCTCCTTAGAAATTTTTGCTGTTGACTGTCCTGGCCTTCTGTGGCCCTGCAGCCTGGTCCTTCAGTCCTGCAGTCTAACTACAGTCTCTAAGTTCTACAAGAGAGTGACTACAGCTGGTCCGACTCCTCTCTGGAGCTTGAACTTGGCTGGGTGCTTGAGGCCACAGTTCTGGGTGTGGAGGGTGCAGAGGGATGTGCTGTCGCGCCGCTCAAAGGGTCTTGTGGGCCCTCGTATTGAGGCAGCTCGCCATCTGATGGAAACTCCCCATCTGAGAGGTATGGGGGAGGCGGGAGATCAAACCAGGGAGGCCGACTAGGGGTAAAACAGACAGATAGAGAAAGAATATTATGTTAGGGACATAAGCTATTGCATAAGACCGTAACCAGCAGCTAGCAAAGATTTAGGATTTACACCACTTTCTGTCAAAATAACGTGATTATATAACAGCATTAGTTAGGGAAACCTGTAACCCAGTAAGATTTGTGCTTATCTGACTTACATGCTCATCATTTAGTTTTTTTATGTATGAATTTTTTCTTCTTTTCTACCATATTACAATTTTGTTTTTTTAAACAACTGGATAAAATATGATAAGGCACATAATGGCCAGAAAATCAATCATTTTTAAGTAAGTAATGAAATGAAGTAAGACATTTTCTTTTCTTTCAGAATATATTCTCTACATCAATATTATTGGCTTTTTTTCAGAAAATGTTCTCCTTCTCTGTTTTTTGAGTAGTTTATGACCAACATTCCTCGTTTGTTTATCATTCTCAAGAACTCATTTGGTCTGTGTGTATAGAAATTGATTGAGAGCTAACAAGTAAATTAAATTACAGTCTTATTATGTTGTATCAAAATGATGTACTAAATGAAATTATACTTTGCTAGAGAGACAACTTCGCCGCCACTTTTTGTGCTTTAGGTTTTTGGTTTGGTAAAGCTAGCTTTATGGATACAGAGAAAAAATGATAAACTTCTATACAGATGTTAGAATAATTATTCGTTTCACCTGACATCCAGAACAGCTTGCGAGTATGACGGAGGTGAGTCAATGGAGTGTCCGGAGGGATATAGGCTACCAGACAGCAGCTGCAGTGCCTGAGGAGTTGAGCAGTACTGGCCCGCTGTGGTGGGGGAGCCAGGGGAGAGACCTGGACCTCCGGGGTGGATGTGGCCCCGGTCCAAAATGACCAGACGGGACAGCAGCAGGGGCTGATGATGATGGTGGTGATGTGAGCTCCCTCTTACGCCTCTGGGCAGCAGGACGCTCCGCTTCCTCTGGTGATGGAGCACCAAAGCCAGCAATGCCACCACCAGGACGAAGATAACGGCGCTGCCGATGACGGCATAGGTGATGCTGGGGTAGTAACGCAAACGGTAGTCCAGTGTCACAAAGTCCTGCCCCGGAGCTTCTGTGGAGGACAGGGAGGAGATGGGTTGAGGATTGTGTAGGAGGTTGGGGAAAAGGGAGAATGAGTGGTGGCGAGGGAGACAAAGAAGGAAATAGAGGATGGATGGATGGATGGAGACACAGAGGAAGAGGAAAACAATTAAAGGGAACAGGAGGTTGACGAAACAGAAGGGTTAAGCTGTGGAGTTGCAAAGCCAGGGGAATGGAGAAGGGAATGAAGGAGGGAGGCATGAATATCAAGCAGTAAATTGTTTTCAGGTTTATTGTGAAATGTGTTCGGTGATTTAACAGAGGCAGCCTCTCATGGAGATGAGAGTGCTACATAATAAGCATAACAGACTCTCCCCAAGAGCTTCCAGAGACAAGAAGAACAATTGGAGCATCTTGCAGGATGCAGAAGCTAGTTTTGAGCCCCTAGTTCAAAAATAAGGACCTCCTTCTTTATCATGAAGAAAGAAAAAGAACAGAGGCTAACTAATTCTTTGTGAGGACAAAACAGCTTACAGCAGTTTTAGATAAAACACTACTTGAGTTTCTCTCCACTGAAGACGATAGAAGGCAGAGGAACACCAGGGGCTGTCACAGATTACCATGTTTGTCGCAGGGAGAGGCGCTGTGTGAGCTTCTTAGGAGTCCAGGGAACTCAAAGTTCACTATGAGAACCGTGGCCAGCAGTAGGAGAAACGAGGAAAGGGACCACTTTAATGCCAGGGAGCAGTGCAGCTTATTATTCCAGATGGGATGATGGGAATAGCACTTAAACATTTCCGCTGACTGATATCACAGTGTGAGAATTTCAATCAGGCACTCAGGGTGAGGCTCATGTAAATGGTGTTTCTGCAGCTTACCGGCAGACAGTACTGTTGTATTAAGGAGAGAGGGAGGGAGAGTGGAAGGAATCCTATTTATTACGGAGCCGCAGTAAGGCTGTGCTAATAAGGAATGAGCTACATAAAAGTATTTTACAGTTGCCGTTTCAGTTTAAATTACACTAATGCCTCAGGGGGCTGTAAACATCAAACCTCTGTATGCCTGCTAAAAAGTTCAAAACACTCACTGGAGCACTTTCAGTGTTCTGTATTCGAGGATTCTGCGTTGCTGCTTAACACACTGCATGTATTTATGCCTCATATACACTTAAAAAGACTCACATCCCTGTCCACTAGCCATCATGCAGACAGTTGAGGATATTGCTCAGAAAGCTTGCCAGGAAATGACCATTACAAGATATCTTGAGGTTGAATCAATAGTCTGAAAAATGCTTCCATCTGTAAGGATTAGATCCCCTGAAACTGCAAAGCAGGCAAACGTTTTTGGAGCTTTTTGAAGTATTCCAGGCTTACATAGACTTACAGGCTCTTGGGGGATATTGTGTTTAGCACAGGGTAGAGATCCCCTCCCAACACGTACGGGGCCTCAGAGAATTAAATGAAACGTGCAGAGCTCCACACAAAGTCAACCAGTGTGACCCTGTTATATTGAGTCAGATCCACAAAGCTACACCAACTAAAATTCTTATGAAAAGGAACTCTGCTTTCTGATTTCAAATGTATTTAATAGTCTAATATATTATTTATATGTACTGGAATTCAAATCATACATTGATAGAGGTAACAATGTGTGCTTGAAGGAATAGGGACAAATCCTTATTTGCTTTCTTGCAGAGAGTTGGGTGAAAAGATCGATGCAAGCTGTTTCCCTCTGTATCCAGTCTTTATGCTAAGCTCTGCTAACTAGCTGCTGGCTTCATATTCACCTGGCAGATAGGAGAATGGTATCGACCTTCTTATTTAACTTATTTAAACCGAGTAGGTGGATACCCCAAAATGTCGAACTATTCCTTTAAGATAAAGGTGCTGGGGGTTATAGAGAGACTATCAAAGCTCAGTATTTGTCAGGGCATCTGTGTGGACAAAACAAGCTATCATTAGAGGAGGAGTTTTTTTGAGCTTGTTTTCCCATTCTTCCATACACCATGCTGCATGTTTTCTGTGTCTACCTGACCTTGAAGGCCTGTGGGAGTCTTCAGCAGTGTGTGTGTGTGTGTGTGTGTGTGTGTGTGTGTGTGTGTGTGTGTGCGCGCATACTGTTGAATTCCCGACAACAACCAGCCTGGCATACAGCCTATTTATGTACCAGTGTGTAGTCAGGGGCCTCATGCCTTAATTAAATCTAATCTAATTCAGATGCTCCACCCGCCCGCTGCCCCAACCAGGCACCAGCCAATAAAACAAGCCCCCTCGACCCCTCCCTTGTGATTTAAAATTGGCTAGTCCTTCACGCTACCAATTAATTATGAACTGGACTCTCAGCAGAGAAAAGCCAAAACAAAGAAGAATTATTTCCATAATTACCTAGTAAAAAAAAAGGACGAATAAAGAGATCCCACCGCTGCCACCCTATGCTGCCTATCAGGTTTCAGTGCAGTCCTCTGGGAGCAGAGAGAAACACACACAAAAGGAACTGTAACATTAACAATGGGAGCCTATTCGGTACATTAGCGATAGAGGCCTGAAAGGCTGTTTCAAATCACACAGGAGATGAAAAGACAAGGAAAAAAAGAGAAAGAGACTGAAGCAAGCTCTTTTTCTGTCAGAGGAGAGAGGTCCTGTGTGGATGTGTGTGTGCGTGTGTGTGTGTCCCCGCTGTGTGTGTGATGGGCCTCGCATTCGGTGTTTCAGCACATTTTGAGCTGCTAGTTGTAGTTACGGCACAAAGAAAGGTGTGATCATCACATACAAAGAAAGATAGGTGAGGGGGTCCCACAGTAACAATGGTAATTCCGATTCAAAAGAAAAGAGTCCTAATCACACGCCATTACCTTACGGACACATGCACACTTTATGTCCTTTGATAGCAGTACTCAGGATGTTACTATTGTTTTTTTAAATCTGCAAATCATATTTTCAGTTAATACCTGTATATTCAATCATTATGAAGAATGGATTCACACATCAAAGTCCTGGATAGCTGAGCCAGGGTCAGATGTGTGCAAAAAAGGAAAAAGGGAAAAGCCACACACTCACAGCTCTGATGCATATTGTATAATTCTATAGTTCAACATTACAGCACACATTTCCTTCTTTAAGACGGAAACCAGTAACCTTCTGACTGACATATAATATGTATGAGACTAGCAATTCAAATCAGTGAACTTCATCATGTTTTACTGGCTTTCAAACATTTCACCCAAATCTCTTTCGAATGGTGTGCTCACATTACATGCACTCATAGTGGCTGGTCCTGCTAGCATCTCAGACAGTTCTTACTCTGTACCAAATTCATTTGATGGAAGTGTCATGATCAAAGTTGAACATCAAAGTTCACTAGAGGCTTTCCTATCTTGTCAAACCTGACATGAAAGGCTCAAGTAAATCTGTGCTGTCGACCAATGATAAAGCAGCTTGGACACTGTTGACTTCAGAAGTCCAAACTGAAGGTAGCTTTCCTTTTAGCTCATTCAATTTCATACAAGTCTTCAGAGAACGAAAACTGACATTCTTAGGACTTGCTGCATGGCTTACAGTCAGTCAGGATACAAGTTGAAGTAGATCAGTGACTTCCTGACCAGGGGTACTTGTACCCCATAGGGTACCTTACTGTTGCAAGGGGGTAACTAGTTAGTAAGCAAGCAAGCAGAGAAGTCTTAACAGTTAGCTAAATGGCTGAAACGGAGAGAGAAGAGAGAGGAGAGACACATTTGTATACCTCTTTTTGAAAATGACCACAGCAAGAGTCAACAAGACTCTACCAATATTATATTCATTATGTTTCAGAATGCTAGCAGTCTGTGAAACAGTGTGGGTCAGTGAGGGGTGAATCACCAGGATTTCATTTTGAGGGGTTAAAACATTTTTTTTCGGATTGAAGTTACATGTTTAAAAGGGGCTGCTCATAACACATGTACTTGTGTTCCGCGTGAATAACCTCACTCTGCCGCTTTCCCAGAGACATTGGCACCTCTCACAGTGCTTCTATACTGTATTCATAAACTCATAAACCTTCCATATGTGAAGGCTTTGGGGAGAGGGGCAAGGTGCAGCCTTTCAACTCAGCCACTTTAATTACATCAGGGCCTTCTCCCCACATCTCTCCCCTCCCATTCCCTGTCCTCCCCTCTCGCCTCCTCGCCACCACTCCTGTGCCTTTTGTTTCCCCCTCTTGTTTCTCCTCTTCCTCCCCCTCAGCTTTGTGTTTTCCATAGATCCCTCCTCTCCTCTCCACCCGCTATTCCACTTTACTCCCCTCTTGTTGGTAATTTACTCTCATGGAGATGACATGTACCTTGTCCTTATGATATACAGCATCTGCACTCAACCTGGATTATGCACTCAATAAATGCTTATCAAAAGCAAAAACATATCAAATCTCTCTTTCAATCTTTCTCCACTTTCTCTTCCTTTCCCTTTACACTCTCTTGCCCTGTTCCCTCTTTCACTGCCTGTTCTCTCTCCAATAGTCTACCACTCTGTTTTTGCATTTCATTATCTCCTGCATGCATCAATCTTATTACCCCTGCATGAGAGGAGAGAATTATAGGGACACTGACAGAACAGGTTACTGACAGAACAAAACTGGACAAAGGAGAGGAGTTAAAAGAGGACACAGGTAGAAACAGACGAGGACATGTCCAAAAAGAGAGGGAGGAGAGATAAGCATATAGTGTCTTTTGAAGTATCATCTGCACACATCTCATCTCCCCTATGAGAGACTAAGAAAATTGGACTCCACACGCACGCTGCTCCAAAGTAGCCTTAAATCTATTACAAGAGACAGAGTCACACAGACCCCCTGCTGTATGCCTCCAATACCAGGAACGCACTCTTTTGCCTTGGTCTTTTTTGTGCTTTCACTTTCATCTACATCTTTGTGCCAGCCTTTCTAAACTTGGCTAAGGATCCTTATCTTTTTGGACAAATTCCTTTTTTAATTCCATTTTTATGTTGAAAAAAATCACATCTTAGTATATATACATATGTGTGTGTAATTGTGCAATAAACA